AGATTTCCTCCTCCGAGCCGCTAGCTTTGATATCTGCGAGAGCACCGAGGAGGCCGGATCCGGCCAGCGAAAACCGTGCCTTAGAGCCTCCACCAGTGATGGGATCCTGCGGGGCAACCGCTACGAGAACGGGGAGCGTGGACTGCGGCGGGGGGGGTTCTTGGAGCCGGGCTTTCACCAGCATCCAGGAGGAGATGGCAGAAGACCCGCTGACCTACAAGTCCAAGCTGATGGTGGTGGTGAAGATGGATGCTTCCATCCAGCCGGGTCCTTTCCGGGCCGTGCTGAAGTACCTGTACACAGGGGAGCTGGATGAGAACGAGCGGGACCTCATGCACATTGCTCACATCGCTGAGCTGCTGGAGGTGTTTGACCTCCGGATGATGGTGGCCAACATCCTCAACAACGAGGCGTTCATGAACCAGGAGATCACCAAAGCCTTCCACGTCCGGAGGACCAACCGGGTGAAGGAATGCCTGGCCAAGGGGACTTTCTCGGGTATGACTCCTGACCGAGGGGGAGCACCATCCGCAGCACCCCCTCTCCCTTGTGGGGGGCTCTGCTGGATGGGTGGGGGGCTCCGAGCTCCTGGCTTTGCCCCCTGCCCATGCGTGAGCACTCCCTCGCCTTTCCCGGGGTTTTTGGCTACACTTTGCATTTCTGGGATTTTTACAGCTTTTTTTTTTTTCCCCCGGAAAGTGTGAGTGTCACGGCCCTTCCCCAGGGTTTCCCGCTCCCCAGCCCCCCCCGACCGCTCTGTTTATTTACGGGAGAGCAGCAAAGGCGACTTCCTTCCCTCCCGGGCCCAGATTTTCACAGGGTCATCTGATTTACGAGGAGCAACGTGCCCTTGCTAGGACTTCCCCAGCCCTGGCTTTCTGCCGAGCACCACGTGCCACCGGCTTGTGCTGCGGGGTGACGTCCCAGCGGGGACGGTGGATGCCCCAGCCTCCCTCCGGCTGAATTTGTTTCATGAAGATGGACCTTGATGTGGTCAAGTTGTCACTGTCGGTGGACAGATGTGTGCTGGCCCCTGGCACCCCTCGGGGAGAAGCCCTGCTCTGGGGTGGAGAGCAGAGTAGGGGGGACAGGAGATCCCCGGCGTCCTTCCCAGCTCTCCCAAGGACTTAAGCTTGGGCTAGACGTTTGATTCCTGGGTTTTCCCCTTTGCTTTCAAATGTGTCACGGTATGGCTCGGTAAAATCCCTCAGAAAA